ACCGTATTTTCTGGCGTATAAGTCGCAGATTTTTGCATATCAGTCTTGTAACTTATACTCGGAAGCAAATTTATATATGTTTTTTTTCTTTCCATATTCATAACGCAATTTTTGACTGACGATTTACATTGCGGAGAACTGCAACAGTGAGTCCTCCCGTGCACACTCACTTCACTCAGCTAGTGCAGGCAGAGGAACGCCAGAGAGCTAGCTGCACCAGCCGCGATAAATTGATGGACAGATGGCGCTGCGCCACCCAGGCGAAATGAAGCTGTTTTGACCATTAAATAAATAAACTCATAATAAATGTGACTTATACACCGAAGCAACTTATACGTGTTTTTTTTTGTTTTTTTTTCCTCTTCGTGATGCTTTTTTTGTTTGATGCAACTTATACTCCGGAGCGACTTATATGCCGGAAAATACGGTACTTAATTACAGTAATGTGAGTATTTGTAATTTGTTACTTCCACCCCTGCATATACCTACATGCACATACCACTTTTCTGACACTTATATCACACTTGAGATAAATAGGCAATACAATTAAACTCTCAACAACAACTGAGACATGAGACTAACAGATGGCGTGAACTATAAAATCTGTTACCATGGGAGCCAAAAAAGAAGCATACAATGTTCTGCACAGCCAACATGCATGCCACACTGCTGGTATAAGGCCAGCCCTTTGATTTCAGTATTATGACAATTTTTACTGCATTGGAGAAGCATTTAGTTGCAGAACAAACAAGTGAAATATTTGAATAATTTAATGTCTATATAAATTGAGAGTATTTATTTGTTTAATACGCATAGCCAATTCAGTTATTTTCTTCTTAAGAATAGAATCAGAGTTTCTTTGTCATTCACACCACATGTGGTGGAATGAGATTATGTACACAGGGTCCCAGTTACGTCCCACAATAAAATGTAAAAGAAAAACAGTAATAAGGTCTAAGATATGAACTAAGAAAAACATAAACTAAAAATACACTAAGCACTAATGGCATTAAAAACCATAGAAACAATACGACAAACAGCAGCACGAACATGAGTCAGTGTGAGCAGATGAGCACGAATGAACACAGCAACATGAAAAAGATCAGCAGCAACATGATGTGATTTATTTATTTATTTTTCAGTGATTTATCCTGATTAAATATTCATGAGTCTAACAGCCCCAGGGTAGAAGCAGTCTAGTAGTTCTACACTTAATGCTCCTCAACCTTCAGCCTGAGGGGAGAGGGGCAAAAAATGTGTGTGTGTGTGTGTGTGTGTGTGTGTGTGTGTGTGTGTGTGTGT